GGAAAAACTCCACCCGCGCATTTAACCCTTCGGGGCGGGGCGCGCAAAAAGGAGGTGTGACAATAGTATAGAAAACCCAAGTCTTTAATTTTAAACTCATCATCCAAAAACTGCTTCAAGGCTGAAATTTCAACCAAATCATCACTCGTAAGGATGATGTCATCAACATAGACTGCTAATATCACCAAATGACCTGGAGATCCTTTGATGAAAAGAGAATAGTCATTGAGGGAATGATGATACCCTCTAGAATAAAGAGCCTCGGATAACTTGGCATATCATTGTCTAGAGGCTTCACGCAACCCATAGAGTGATTTTTTCAGCTTACAAGCCAAAGGGACAGAAGAAGGAGAAGCAACAGAGAGACCTAGAGGTAATTTCATATAAACCTCTTCATCTAAGTTACCATGAAGAAAGGCATTATTGACATCAAGTTGAAACAAAGACCAATTCTTTTTAACAACAACATCAATCAAGCACTTAACAGTGGACATTTTCACAACAGAAGAGAAAGTCTCATTGAAATCCACCCCCACAACCTGTGTGTCCCCCCTAATGACAAGCCTAGCCTTGTATCTTTCAATCTCACCGTTAACTTTGTATTTGATCTTATAGACCCATTTGCAACCAATAGGCTTCTTGCCCGAAGGAAGCTCAATAATATCCCAAGTATGATTTGCTTCCAAAGCCTCAAACTCTTTCCTCATGGCATCTTGCCAAGCTGGGATAGGAGCTGCCTGGGAATATGTATATGGTTCAAATTATACTGGCTTAGAAGAGGAGCAAGAAAGGGAATTGTTCAGCTTGTAGATGTAATCATTTAAGTAAGAAGGAGGATTATGAGGTCTATCAGATTTTCTAAGGGGAATAGAGGATGGTGCAGGAATAGCAGCATCAGGATTAAAAGAAGGAGAAGCAGGGGCAGAATCAGGGACAGCAACTGAAGGAGAAACTGCAACATCTATGTCAGGAGGAAAAGAGGTGTTGGGAGGAGTAGGAGATGAAGAACCATGTGTGAAAGTAGAAGCAGGATGTGATGTTGTGTTGGGGGGAACATTAGTGGAAGAACAGGGCATAAGGCAATCATGGGGAAAAGAAGGTAAATGAGTAGGTGACAAAGGGGACTCAGAAACAACAGGAAAGGAGAAATCTGAGGAAAGGAAAATGCTGCTCATGGAAAACCACATCTCTGGATATGAAACACTGCTTGGATTGCAAATTATACAACTTATAGCCTTTCTTTACAAAGTGATAGCTAAGGAATACACAAGGATTAGCTCTAGGTTTCAGTTTATCTCGTTGAGGAATTGGAACAGTGGCAAAACAAAGACAACCAAAAGTCCTTAAGTGAGAATAATTGGGCTTTTACCAAATAGCAACTCATAAGGAGATTTATTTTGAAGCAAACTAGAGGGAAGTCTATTTATAATATAGGTGGATGTGAGGAGACAGTCTCCCCAGAATCTAATGGGAACTTGGGACTGAAAAAGTAAGGCTCTAGAAGCTTCAAGAAGAGTTCTATGCTTCCTCTCAACCACACCATTTTGTTGAGGTGTGTGAGGGTAGCTTGTTTGATAAATTATACCATGTTCAGAAAATAAGGAAATAGCAGCATGACTAGCTCCTAACTCTAAAGCATTGTCAGACCTTATACACTGAATAGTCATATGAAATTGTGTCTTTACAAGTGCAACAAAGGCCTTAAGAAGAGGGAAAATATTACTCTTGGATCCCATTAGTAAGAAAGTATTTAGAACCAGAGTAAGTAGGTGTGTGATATGGTCTCCAAGTGTCAACATGGATAGGTTGGAAAGGTTTAGAGCTATTAATTGAGCTATCAGGGAAAGGCAATCTAGTTTGCCTAGCCATTGGACAAACATGACATGTAAAAGACTGTGTGGAAGAAATATCAAAAGACACTTCAGAAATACTTTTCATTCTAATAAAAGGAACATGAGCGAATCTACTATGCCAAACAATATCCATCATTTTATTCATAGCAGCTTTATTACAGGTGGAAGAAACAGTATTTACAATAGAAGAAACAGGATCACAAATAGATGGTAAGCTGCAAGAATTTGACAGAGTAGCTTGATGCTGAGAAGGCGTTTCCCACACAAACTTGTATAACCCACAATCCAGTTTACCAAGATCCAGAGGCTTCTTCAGAGAAGTGCCCTGTATGAGACAAGAAAGTCTAGTAAACTAAATTATGCAATCAAACTGGTCTGTGAGTTTATGTACAGAAATAAGATTGTGTTTAAAAGAAGGTAGATAGAGAACATTTGTAAGAATAATGGAATCAGTTAAGGCAAAGGAACTTGTACAAGTGACTTTAACTTTGTACCCATTTGGTAGGGAAACAAGGAAAGGAATAGGTAAAAGTGTGATATTAATAAGGTAATCTTTATTAGAGGTCATGTGATCTGATGCACCGGAGTCAACTATCCAAGTTAAAGAATCAGATTGACTAAGTAGAGTAGAATTAAAACTATATACTACATTCTTAGACAGTAAAGTACTAGCAAAATTGGCAGAGCTCATAATGTTGAGTTGAGGTCCAGAATCAGAGATATGAGATTCCTGTAACAATGAAATAAACTGAGAATACTGCTGCTTTGTCAAACCAGGTAACCCAGAACCATGTTCATTAGAACCAGCAGAAGGAACAAAGGCTTGGTTAGGCGAAGAACATTCAGAAGTAGAAAAATCAGAGTCCATAACCACATTGGCAGCTACTTTTTTGCCTTTAGTGAACTTGAAATTTGGAGGGAACCCGTGAAACTTGAACACTTATCAATGGAATGTCCTGATTTCTTACAATACTTACAAAAGAGGTTAGACTTGGATTGGTCAAAATTGACTCTCTGATTAAATTGTCTCTGATATCCCTGAACATTAATTTGTGGTTGAAAAGGTTTGTTATTGGGAGGATTGACATTGAAAGATGTTGATTCAGTAGTAAATTGTATGGCAGGATTGACTTGTCTTTGTTTTTCATCTTGTAGGAGGATGTTATAGACATTGTCCAGAGATGTCAAAGGTTGCATCATTATCAAATTGCTTCTGACACCCACATATACCTCATTCAGTCCCATGAGGAACTGATGAACTTTATCCTCCTCTTTCTCCTTCTGAAGACCTTCTTTAGCAGCACATGTGCAAGTATTTGCATGACCACTACACATTACCCCCAACTCATCCCATATTCTTTTAAGTTTGGTGAAATAGGAAGCAATATCAAGGGATCCTTGATAAGTAGATTCTAATTCCCTTTTTAATTCAAATACTTTGGTCCCATTTACAGTTCCATATCTGTTATTTAATTGTTTCCAAATGCTTTCAGTTGTCTCAGAGTATTGAACACTTTCAGCTATTTCTGAAGACAACGAGCTAGTTATCCATGATATAACCATGTTGTTACAACAATCCCATTGTTTATAATCAGGGGAAGTCGCAGTAGGTTTGGGACATGAACCATCAATAAAAGCTATCTTATTCCTAGCGGACATAGAAACTATCATGCTACACTTCCATCCCCCAAAACCATTCCCCGAGAAAGGTACAGGAACAAGTGATACTCCGGGAACATCAGAAGATTGGAGATACAAGGGGGATGAAGGCTCAGGAGTATATGCAGAAGATGTACTAAAACCAGTCATGATAGCAATTAGGAAGTATCAATCGACAACTCACGGCAACAAGTCACAAATGATAACACCAAACACCACAAAGCAAGCAATCAGATAAGAGAAGAGAATACCAGCCTTCTTCGCAACCTGAATAAGTAAGGCCTGGAAGACGAACAAAACTCTGATGAGTTCGCCGAGCAAACCCTAATCTGACAAAATCTGGAACCTTCGAGTAGCCAAAATTCAATCAAAAAAATGGAAACTTCGCGCTAGTACAACTTCTCCGATGACAGCAATGAAAAAAATCAAACCAAAAAAATAACTTCCAGTCGAGAAATCAACGGAAACCACCAAACTCCGACAACAGCGAAAACTTGACGAAATTAGGTGAGGGTAACATCGCTCAATAGAGGAGAGTAAGGACTGACCGTCTCCCGCTCTGATACCATGTTAATGCAGAAAACATCAACTCAATGAAAAGGATCGTCAATGGAGATTAGGGATTCTAGATCCTTCTTATCAGAGAGAAAGATATGAACGAAGCAGTGAGAGATGGGAAAATGGTTCGCCAACCCAATACAGTTGGACCTTTGACTATTTATACTTCACTTAGACCCGGTCCATAATGTTTACAAAACTAGCACAATTGATTGAACTAAGCTATTACATCTGACTACTTCTAATACAATACAAAGAATGACTATCTCTATAAAACTATCTATTTACCAAACAAATAAAGAATGGGCCAACTTAAGTATGTGGCTTTGGAGGCCCAACAACCTCGTCCAAATTTGCTTGGTACTTTTTATTTTTCGAGAGTTAATTTAATTAATTTTAACTCAAATTGCATTAAATTTATTATTTTTAATTAAATTTAGATATTTTAGAACCACAAGAAGATTAGAATAAGTTGCGATTTACTTATACCAAAATGGCAAAACATGTATTTTGTATTGCCAATAGTTTTACTCCGGTGAAGCAGAAAGTAAAAGAGCTTGCAGACAGAAGCATTACGCCCTCTTGTTTTATTTTATGTGAAATTGTTTTACCAAGTATGGAGTTTTTTTTAAAATAAAAAATAAAAGAAAGACTTTCAAACATGAGTTCTTAAATATGCCATGATATTTTTATGGCAATAAAATCATGCCATTAAATGTTACAACATTTGAAGTTAAAAATTATTTCTAAATATAGAAAGTGTCAATTTTTTGGAATAAACAAAAAGTAAAGAATATCACATAAAATGAAAGAAATGAAGGTCGAGTAATTTTGAATGATTGCGAGTTGATTAATAAACAATTTACAGGTAATATGCGATCACTTGGGATTAGGAATCAAGACTGGATTACCCTACATCTATCACAGCAAGGCTAGCAATCCATTTGTGAACTTAAAGAAAGAATACAATGGAATTTTCCGGCAAGAAGACATTGTTGAGTTTCTTTTTAATATGGAAAGGTATTAAAAAGAGGATGAATGAAAAATGGAGGGAAATGAAAATTTTGAGTAAAATTTTAAGTTTCCCTCTCTTTTTAATGAGACATTGTCCCTCATTGGTAGAGGAAAAGGAGTTTGGTGGGTTTATCTACAAATGTACTTCATGTAGCTCTTAAAAAGTTAGGAAGAAGGCAAGCCTCGCACCGTCGTCGCTCGCTCGCTCGCTCGGCTCGGCTCGGCTCGGCTACGGCTTCGGCTTCGGCTTCAGATTCGGATTCGGCTTCGGATTCGGATTTGGATTTGGATTCGGATTCGGATTCGGATTTGGTCAATCGATTGATTGATTGATTTTTTAGACCAAATTTATTTGTTAATAGTGAATATTAACGTAATATTATCCGTGTTTGTAACGGATGTTTTTCAATCCGTGAATATTAATGAGCAAGTGCTCATGCCACCATGAGTAGTGCTCCAGCCACCATTGCCATATTGATTGCTCCATTAGTAAACAGCCTGGTGCTCTGTCCACCATAGCCAAGTGCTCCACTTCATGAGTGGCAGCGAGTCCATTTTTAGCAGCTAATTGCACTATAAATAGAGGGTGCAAGCAGCCTGTTGAAGACACACTGAAAACTTGAGAGCAATTGATCTTCTCTTCACCGAAAACTCAACGTTCGCTATACTTTGCACTCCTTCCTCTCAGATTTTCCATACGAATTTCTGACTTCTCCTCCCTTGTTCTGCATTGTTTTAAACTACTAAGAAAGCAACCGTAAGTGTGATTTGCTGCCGAACTTTGTGTTCGCTGAAACATTGGGGCTTGAAGTATCGCTACACGAGTGTGTAATTCGTTCTATCCTGGGAGAAAATAATCCATAACCTTGGGTACTATGAGGGGATTAAATTCCTTAAGGAAACACTGTGAATTCAGTGGGCTCGAATTAATTTGTATTTCATTTATATCATTTATATTTACGTTAATAAGCTAACATTTTAATTTCCATAATCATTATTTTACAAATACAGGAGGAACAACAAGCTTAAGGAATTTAATAATTTTAATTTTTGTATTTGTGTTACTTTTATTATTCTGGAAATTATAACCTTTGTGGTTTTTGTGTACTCCCGTTTGGAGAGTAAAGCCTTCGTGGCATTTTGTTGGATATTAAAATCTACGTGATTTTTCACTCTAGTTTTAAACATTTATTAAACGTTTGTTTGTGTCATTTTTTTTTCAGAAAAAAAAATGGCGAATGACGGAATCAAGCTGTTCCGATGATGACTGCCAACGCATCGACAAGTCGAACTCCGGCATTGGCACCGGCAGGGAAACCCGGAAAATTTTCTGGGATGGATTTCAAGCGCTGGCAGCAGAAGATGTTCTTCTACTTGACTACGTTATGTCTACAGAAGTTCATCAAGGAAGATGTTCCTGATCTTCCAGATGAAACTCCAGAGAATGAAAGCTTTCTCGTGATTGAGGCATGGAAGCATTCTGACTTCTTGTGCAGGAATTATATTCTTAGCGGACTGGAGGATAATCTGTATAATGTATACAGTGGC